CCAACAATAAACTCACCCAAACAGTGCATGCATACAACCTACCACCGACAATGTGCATACACACCACATCTACAAACAACAGCCCTATACGATACCTTAAAGACATTTCGTCGTCCCCCCCCCCTTGCTACCGAAACGAAAACAAACAAACAGACGAATATAATGTCTATATATATATATATATATGCATATAGTGTACACCAAATACTCAATGCAAAGCTGCGTGGACGTTAACAGAGGCAGAGAGAAGAGAAATGAAGTACCTTCCATACGATTGTTTCGCAGATGTTTGTCGCAATGAAGAGAGAAATACCACTACCCAGTCCGTAGCCTTTCTGCAGAAGTTCGTCCAAGATGATGACAACAACTCCGGCGAAAAACAGCTGAAGAATAATCAGCAATGCGCTGCCTGTACACACCAAGCAAGAAGCAGCACCCTGACACCTACGTGCGGAACACAACACATCTAATTATTTCAAGTGCTCGTATTGCCTTCTCAGCCCACAAAAGTCACACCGCCGCGAAACATGAAATAGTTCTGTACAGGTTGCGTGTGCAGCCTGAAAAGAGCTGTTTCATATGTAGTGGCGGTAGTTGCACTGACATCCTCTCGCTTGTTCATGTATGTATGCTTACACATACGTATTTCATGCACGTATATGTGCAACCACGATCAGCTGCTCTACGCCGGAATTACTGATTCACTTCTTTCATCCACAATCACGAAGAGATAGATGATGCACATACTGCTTTCTACTACGGTGTACAGAATGAGTTAAACCATGAACAAGCGAACAGGCATTAGAAAGCCCGCCGGTGTACATATCGCCGTCATTTTCGCTGCAACTTAAAATGTCATATTCATATTTTAACGAGTATTGCTGTTCTTTTTACGTTATTATTATGCAAGAAGAAGTAATTAGAAATAAGAAATAATTACCTGCCCCGATTTCAGATATCGGCCCATACATGCCACTGATGACATACGCCACCGCCTCTCCAATGGTGATGAGCAGCGCCAGCACTGTGCACACGAAAACGGAGCAAACAAGTGAAAACAAATCTGTAAATATACTCATGCGAAATGGTAACAAGCAGCACATGCAACAAACAACAGAACAAAGATGCAGAAACAAACAGCAACAGTGATTCAAGAGGCTTCGATGATACGCTTCGTAATCCGCACAGAAGCCACAAAGGCGAAGGCAAATGCATATAGGAGGCAAGGATAGACGAAGAAAACATAATCAGCACGCAAGATCCACGGAAATATGCACAAATAACAATGAAGGAAGACACAGTAGCAGCACACCGAACAACGGATTGTATGTATTAGGTGGGGCGGTTATTTGCTTTCTGTATTG